TTTAAATTTTACTTGATTATTGTGGTTTAAGATAGAAGACTGTTCATTACTCCATCAACTCAACCAATTAAGAGAGATTTATTTTAAGAATGTTAAATTGCAGTTAATTGACTAGTCGATGGAATTTCCATCGATAGGCACTTCCACATTCCTCCTTTGAAATGTACAAAAGCCTCTGCTGGAGCTCTTGTACATTTCAATTTAAATTTTACTTGATTATTGTGGTTTAAGATAGAAGACTGTTCATTACTCCATCAACTCAACCAATTAAGAGAGATTTATTTTAAGAATGTTAAATTGCAGTTAATTGACTAGTCGATGGAATTTCCATCGATAGGCACTTCCACATTCCTCCTTTGAAATGTACAAAAGCCTCTGCTGGAGCTCTTGTACATTTCAAAGGAGGAATGCAAAACTCGGCATGTAGCCCAGGCTAGTGGGAAGTCCCACTGACTTCGGACTACACACTGGTGCCTGCTTCAAAATGTACAAGAGTCCCCAGCAGGAGCTCTTGTGCATTTCAAAGTGGCAACGCAGCATGGAGTCTGGGGTTAGCAGGGAACTCAGAGTTCCCCGCTGACCCCAGGCTCCATGCTGTGCTGCCCATTTGAAATGCCACAGGGAGCTGGAGCCCTCTTTGGAGACCGGGGTCACTGACTCTGGGCTCCATGCACAGCAGTGCCACACAGCTGATTCAGGGATTAGCTGTGCGGCACTGCCCCTTTCAAAGCAGCAGCGCCGCATAGCTCATCCAAGGTTCAGCTGTGCGGCGCTGCCATTTTGAAGTACCCTCTTTTTTTCCCCCTTTGCTGCCTCTGTCTGGGGTGAGGGGATCAACTAGTCGAATAGTCCTTAACATCCTTAATTTATTTCTGATCAGCTCTAGTCTGCAATCTGAAATGCCACAGCATTTCAAAGCGGCAGCACCACATAGAGCTCAAGGTCAACGGGGGAGTCCCCAGCTGACCCCAGGCTCCATGCGGCACTTTCACCTTTGAAGTGTAGCAACAGTGCTAAAGGCTGCTGCTACACTTCAAAGGCGGAGGTGCCCTATCAACTAATTGAATAGTCGATGCAAAATCCATTGACTATTCAGTTAGTCAATTACTTGCAATTTAACATCCCTAGCAAACACTCACATGCACAAACAAACATGCTCACAGAAGCCACCCTTAACAGTAAAAAAATACAAGAAACAAGGTGTAATTTATGATATCCACAGCCACACGGTTGGGGAAACTTATTTATTCCCATACATTATAACATCACTCTACAAAGGCATTTTGGGATCCAGGGCTGGAAGCTGAAGCTAGACAGACTAGAAATAAGATGTACAATTTTAAGTCGGGGTAATCAACCATTGAAACAATTTACCTAGGGATGTGGGAGTTTGTCATTCACTTAGTATTTAAAATCAAAATGGGACATATTTCTAAAAGCTATGCTCTTAGCTCAGCCAGAAGTTCTGGGCTGGATAAGGGGATTGTTGGGTGTTTCACTGACTATTATGCAGGAGGTCAGACTAGATGATGATGGTTCATTCTGGTACTGAAATGCATCGGAAAAAAGATCTATAGATTAAATGTCTCAGACTTAATTCAGTCTGTATTATTTTGGTGCTTGTATATAACATTGCCCCTTATTTCTCCTCAGAACCCTTAAAAGAAAATTAAAGTGACACTCTGTAGTTGAATCTTACCATAATTTCGCTCATTTGTGCCTTTATGATAAATATTTCTAAGCTTCTTTTCTAAAATGGCTTTATATATGTTTTATATACAAATAATGTAATCTTTCCTGTGGCAGGTGTGACACCACAGACAAGCTAAAAGCTCTATTGCCAAGATTGGAACAAGAGCTAAAGGATCCAGTAAAGTTCAAAGATTTTTACCAGTTTACCTTTACCTTTGCTAAAAACCCTGGACAAAAAGGTTTAGGTGAGTATAGAAACCAAGAAGAGAAGGGTAAAACATCAAGCTTGATTCACATGTCTTCAAAAAAATACTAGTCACAAGTTGCAGGTTATGACTATAGTAAAGTTCAAATAATTTCTTTGCCTCCCCTCCATTTAATCTTTTCTTTAATGCTGCATAGGGTAAGATAAATTAGCAAAGTTTTTTTACCACATTTAACATTATATAAATTCAATGCACAACTGCATGTGGCAAGAATGTTCTTAGAAAAATTAACAAAAATGTATAGCTAGTATTGTTACTTAGACAAAACTGCTCTGGTGTAAAAGCCACATTGTTTTCCTTGTTTCGTTCAGCACTAAATAAACTTTTGTTGTTCTAAAAATAATAGGTTTATATTAATCCCAGGTGTAAAATCTTGGGAATCCCACTATTCTGTACAAACACTTTTTTCATAGGTGAAAAATGTAGACTGACACCAAAGTAGGCTTGCTTTGGTATCATATTTTATCTTGACCCAGTTTGGCATAAAACATTGTGGAAGCAGCTCCAAGTTAACAGGCAGGGATATCAACATTCAGTAAATATTTTTTTACTGTTCTTTTAACAAGACTCTGTTTGAGTGTTCATCCCAACCCATACCTTGCTGTTGCTGTCAGCATAACAATTGATATTCTTTACTCACTGATGCAGTACTATAAAGATATCTTTTCTTTTTACAGATGCTGTTATTACTTTTGTCAAGTCAAAGATGTTTGCCTAGTTTATAAATAGATAAATCTAAGAGCGTCAAACCTTTGGCATTAAATACATTTGTAAATCTTTGTCCAACAGTTATTAAATCAGTTTATCCATGAAGCAGACAACAGATTGGTAAAACCAGACAACATGAGGGCTAACAAAACATTTATTGTATTGTCACCAATATAAGAATATTGTCACCATTGTGTTTTGTTATATGCACAGTATTTGGGAGAAAGTTGTCACTTATTCCAGCCATTTCAATTGTGTGTAACTTTGAAATGGCATGGAAGTTAACAAACACTTTTTTTATAGTAAAAGTAGCTTGAGGGAAATGAGAGAAGATAGACATGTACAGAAGCAAAAATTGTCTCAAACAATCTTGACTAAGAGGTTTGTTCATTCTTTACTTGGTTTTACTTTTAGTATATGGTTCTTGCCTTTCCCACTGTCTTTGGAGATTTTATTAAACTATGATGAGTTTAATCACCTTTATTTTCCTTTACGTATTGTGTCTCTCCTTGAATATTTTTTTCGTACTATTTACCACTGCCATACCTACTAGATATCATCCTACAGCTTAAGTGTCTGGTAAAACCCTGCAGCCAGTGTCTTATTTGTGAGGGCCTGTTAGCAACTTGAATCAATCCATTTAAAAATTGACAGAGTAAAGCATTGGCATTGTGACTTTTACTAGAGATAAAGCTCAGCAGTTAAAAGTTTATGTTCTAAAATGCACACCATTTATTTAAAATCATAGTAATTGGAGCCAGAGCAAAACTTACCACACAGGTTTAGTTTGTATAATATCTAACTTGGAATAACTGATGAAAGCATATTACAAGCTATTTTCTGTTTAAGTTGACTGGAATCCAAAAGAGAAATTGGTATACATAAAATTAGGGCTGTCAAGCAATTAAAAAAGTTAATTGTTATTAATCACGCTGTTAATAATAAGAATACTATCTATTTAAATATTTTTGGATGTTTCAAATATATTGATTTCAATTACAACACAATATAAAGTGTATAGTGCTGATCCCAGGCTCCACACAGCGCTGCCCCTTTACAAAGCTGTGACGAGCCCAGGGTCAGCTGTGCGGTGCTGCCCCTTTTGAAACGCTGCAGCGACGTTTCAGAGGAGCAGCACCGCACACACGAAAACACCTGTGATTAGAACGTGTTAATTTTTTTAATGTGTTAATTCTGCCCTGCGTTAATCACAGGTGTTAACATGTGTTAATTGATTTATCTACCTAAATCTGTTAAATATGAAAGGCATCACTATCAGCATTATAACTCTGGATACACTTGTGTATATGGCACAAAAGAAAAAAAAAGGAACTGAGCAGTTTTTTGAATACTCCAACTTAACTCTTTTCTCTCTGGACCAGATATCTGCTCACCCTGGATAGGCCCCTAGGTATATGGTATCTCTTTATCCCAAAAAAAGCGGTATTTTATGTAAGGAACACTAGACTGTCTTGAAGGTACTTACGAGACAAAACTGAGAAGAGCAGAAATGAAAATTAATTTAAGAGGACTCTAGAAATTGATTACTGTATTGTTGCTAACTTAAGGTCTTGGGAATTTTAACCATTCTGGTAATGCTTAATGTTACCTGAATTGGGTATTGTCAGGTTTTTTGAAAGGTGGTATTTTTTTATATACATTTTTTCAGCTTTAGAAAGTTAACTTTTTAGTATTTTTAAGAAAGGCATCATATTTGGGCAAGTTTATGTAGGTATAATCCTCTTTTTTTCAGTGGAGTTACACCCACTTACATCAGGTATGAACTCAGTCCTTTGTGGGTTTAACTGGGATGAAGTCCGGAACTAGCATGTAAATTAGTATGCAAACTTTTATATCGTTGTGAAAATCAGTGAACTCCGTGATGCCAACTCCATGATTGCTTCAGACAAGCAATAGTCTGCAAGAATCAGGATAGCTTACAAAACAGTTAATTGCTTTTTGTTCGTTAGTTTGTTATGCCGTAGGAAAATTCTTACAACTTGTTTTCACTGTGCTGTTAGCTCAGCTTGTAGCTTTCCTATTGCCCCAAATATTTTCCCCCTCCATGCATACAAGTGAGTTAAGTGGTACTCAGATAGCTAAACATCTGATAAACATCAGAGGATGTGGACTGAAGTTGAAGTGCCGCTGACTTTAATGCTATTAATGGAGTGTGGAGTCAAGCAGTGTTCTCTCTAAGCTGCAGAACAGAACAGCTTCATAGGTGATTAATTAGCCCTGCCCAGTCAGAGGCTCGGGGTTTACTGCGTAGAGGGGATGCTGGACCCAAGTACTCTGATCTGGAGACCTGACAATTTCTCAGAGACATTTTGCAGCTGGACCTTTAAAACTATCCTAATGGGAAGGAAAGATGGAGCCATAATTATCTCTTCCTATTTTTACTATCATGAGCTTTTTAATTACTTGCAAATCAGAAAGAAATCCTACAGAAATGGAAGCATGGACACATTGTACAGATAAATACAGAATAATAGTGAAAACATGTAGAGATAGAATGAGAGAGCCTAGGACCAAGAGAAAGGCAAGGGAAAGTATAGGTCCACTACTTAGCAGGGAATGTGAACTAATAATGGATAACTTCAGAGAGGCTGAAGTGTTTAACATCTCTTTTCGCCTCTGTCTTCACTAAAAAGGTTAGTTGTGACACAACACATTGAAAGAAAGTTAGTTAGTTAGTTAGTTAAGATAAGTTGGCTGTATTCAAGAACATAGATCCTGATGAAATTCACTATATGGTACCTAAGCAATTAGCTGAAGCAATCTCGGAACCATAAGCAATTATCTTCAAGAAGTCATGGAGGACAAGTGAGGTCCTGGAGGACTGAAGGAAGGCAAATGCAGTACTTGTCTTTAAAAAGAAGAATAAAGAAGACTCAAAGAGTTATAGACAAGTCAGCCTATCTTTGATATATGGAAAGATACTGGAACAAATGATTAAACAATCAGTTTGTAAATAGGGTAACGATTAATAGCCAATGTGGATTTGTCACGGATAAAATATGCTTACCCAACCTAATTTCCTCCTTGGACAGGGTTACTGTACTAGTGGATGGGAGGAAGTAGTGGATGTGATATATCTTGATTTTTAGTAAGGTAGTGACACAGTCCTGTATAACATTTTGATAAGCAAACTAGGGAAACATGTTTAGATTAAATGACTCTAAGGTGGGGGCATACCCACCTGATAGTTTATGCTCAGAGAGTAGTTCTCAGTGGTTTGCTGTTAAACTGGGAGGGTATAACTAGTGGGGCCCCTCAAGGGTCTGCCCTGATATTTTTAAACTTTCACTAATTACTTTGATAATGGAGTAGATAGTGTACTTTTAAAAACTGCAGACGAGACCAAGATAGGAAGGGTTATAAACACTTAAAGAACAGGAGTATAATTCAAAATGACCTATCCCAGCATAATGGCCTATTCCAGCATAATTCAAAATGGCCAATTCCAGATGTAGAATCTCCATCACTGGAGTTATTTAAGAGCAGGTTGGATAGACATCTATCAGGGTTGATCTAGATGGTGCTTCGTCCTGCCGTGAGGGCAGGGGACTGGACTTGATGACTTCTCGAGGTCCCTTCCAGTTCTAGTGTTCTATGATTCTATAACCCCATAATGTAAACACGGAATACAATGATAGAATGTGTTTCTTGTGTTGCTGTAGGAATACTCCCTCCCTGAACAATAGCTCAATCAACAAAAATATTCTTAGATTGACCTAGCTGTACAGGGGGTCCTCTCTATAAGATATGTTCCAAAAAACTTGGATTTACAGCGAAAAAACTTAAAGCGGGGAATTTTTTTCCCCATAGCTAACTTCCATTAAAGCAAATTGGAGGGAGTGTTGTGCACGATTTGTAGTGGGGAATAGGAGGACTTATAATGCATTAGTTCCTACAAACGTCAACGACTTTAGTGTGGAATGGATGTATACCGGGGAGACTAAAGTAGGGATCCCCTGTATCTACACCAGAGGCTAGGGCAGTCATCATAACTTCAGTACTCAGGGATATGGATTTTTCACATCCCTGAGCATATAATTATGACAGCCTAAATTTTAAGTGCAAAGTAGGCCCTAATGGGCATCTCCAATCTCTGGAAGTAATGCATTGATTCACTTTCCAAAGATTACCTTTGCAGCTATAAAGATGCTCTTTCACAACCATCTATTGTTTGTTTACATGTATAATAAACACAAAATTATATCAGGTGCTTTAGATGCCTTCAACTGTATTTAAAAACAAATGGAAAT